GAACTCTGTGTTTGGTCTCAGCTGCCATGGGTGTTTCAAGAGGCCTGTAGTGGTTTATGTTGTCTAATTGTATTTGGCCTTCTTGTTTTTTGTCTTGTGATATAACACTACAATGGTTGTTCCTTTATCTGCTTTTTTGATATTTATTTCGTTTTCACGCTTTAAGGCTTTGAGGGCCTCGCACTCCGTTGGGGAGCAGATTATTTCTAGGCTTTGTGAGTTTTAAATCTGCGAGTTCGCTCTTAACCTCTTCTAGGTAGCTCTCAAGGGCGAGTGATCGTTGTATTGGTGGTTCCCATGTAGATTTTACATGGAAAGGATGTGGTTCGCTGTCTTGCCCGTGTGATATGTACATAAGGCGCATTCTTCTTGCGAACTTATCGAAGTTACCAGGATCTGACGCTTCATTTGTGTTTGTTTTGTTACGTGAAAACATCTATTGGGTATGTAGCTGTAATTGGATGCCCAAGTGATTCGCACGTCAATTACCCGCGCTTTAATGGCTTCCTGTGCAATGTTTCCCACAGTTTTCAAAAGTTATGAAAAGCGCTACAGACGTTTTCGCTCAAAAGAAGTTCTCAACAGACATTTTTAATTCCGAAATTTGTTAGAGATACGATTAATTAGTAATTGGACCTCGTGTCGTAGAATTCAGGAAATAATCGTGCTCGTAATTCAAATCGGCCTAACACTTCGTGCTCGTCCGATTTTGAAATTACTCGCGCGATTACTCCCTTAATAATATAAATGCAAAAATTTCACCCGCTGATTGGCTGAGAGCAAGTCAATTAATCTCAAACAGTGCAGAAAGTTGAAATTGAGTTAAAAAAGGTGAAATTGAGTGCAAAAAGTTGAAATTAAATTGACTGACAGGAAAGTCGCGAAAGCTCAACAAAACAAAATGGTGGGCAGCTCAGAGAAATGTGACGATATTTTAATACAGAGTTTGGAGGAGAATGCTATGAACAAAAACACCTTACAAAGTACAAATAACTGGGTAAAAGTCTGGAAGTCTTGGGCTGCTCAAAAGGGCTATAACGAAAGCATTGAAAAAAAGAACCGGAGGCCCTGAACAAAATTCTCGAGCAGTTTTACGAACCTGATAGCCTTCGTGTGATTGTTACTGCTATCGACCGATACCTCAGAGAGAAAGAGTACAAATATTCCATCATTCGTGACAGAGAGTTTAAAAGTTCAAAGCAAGTTCTTGAAGGAAAGCCAGGCTACTGCGACAACAAGACAAAGGGAAGCGGCCGAACAAGGTAAGAAGTCTGTAAACAACCGAGGAAAATGAGCTGTGGGAAAAACAAGAAGCTGGGAAGGGAAGTCCGCAAGTTCTCGTCCAAACAGTTTGGTGGCTCCTGACTCAGTATTTTGGCCTTCGAGGTCGCTAGAAACACCACAGCATGACGGTCGAAGATTTCTCCTTTGGACTAGATGAAAACAACACGAAGTGCGTCGAATATATTCATTGATAACCCAACCAAATCACGCCAGTGCGGACTATCCGCAAAGCCCAGAAGCTTCCTTGCAAAAATGTTTGCTACTGGAA